ATGCCCAGACTTCCTCAATTCTGTGTAACACTTCCAAATGATTAAGTAAATATTGTGCATCACAAGTGCCATGCTTTGTAATTGAGACGTTCAGTGAGCTGACACCTTGTTGCTTAGTACATAAGAATTATTTCAAACAACAAATTTCTGTTCAAGATGCTGTTGTACTTGTTAACGCCATTAGACTTTGAGCAATGCTCAACTTAACACTGAAATAGTCAATAAATGACAACCAGAATACTGGATCTTTAAGGCTCAAACTGGTGTAAGTATTTTGAATTTATACTGTAATGTAATGACACATATTTAAGCCACTAGTGAGCTGTATTAAGTTCACCTTTTTGATAATAGATACTGGTGTAAGACATAGACAGTCATTTGCGTCAGCATCACTATGATGAACCTGCTAAACTTGAAATTAGGTGTTTCTGTGTTGGCTGATGCATGCTGCAATATGCATTTGTATCACACTCCCTCCGTCCGAAAAAGCTTGTCCCAAGCTTGTCCTTCAAATGGATGTATCTAGCACTAACTTGGTGCTAGATACATCCATTTGAGGGACGAACTTTTTCGGACGGAGGGAGTACTACTGAGAACATGTATGTACATGGGTCAAGCTCTAACTTGAAAATGGTCTGTTATGTTTCATGTCAGAGATCAGTGGATGTTGGTCAAGCTCTAACTTATAACAAGATACCCAGTTAATCAACCTGTATTCAGTTTATCATCTTTAGTTGTTGGCCTTCGCCCTTCGCTAAATTTCTCTCGCTGTGAAGTTGCAATTGTAGCTAATTCCTCATAATGATACACTCAAATCTGCCAATTGGCATTACTATAGCAACTAGATTCTTTATTAGGTGCAACAAATGCACATGCTTTGGTAGTAGTACATTGTGTAAACTTTTGTATGTATATTGGTACAGTCAATTACCTGTATTATGCGTACAACCCTGCACCATGAGTCAATAAATGGGTCATATTGAGAGCAGACTTTTGTGCTCTGCTCACCACGTAACGTTGTTCAGTTTTTCGTACACCTTTTGTTATTAGTATCTTTTACTTGCCTTGTACCGACACCAATAATGTCTCATGAATTGTATAGACATCCCCGTTGATTTCAAGATTAACTGAAGAGAGAAACTCTGCTATTCAGCAGAACAACAAGCTTCGTGAGGAACTGGTTAGTGGACTTGATCTTGATGTCAACATTTTTGTGGCATGTTTTGTATTTTGTACTAGCATTCTTCCCTAGTGTTTAAGGCTTGTGAATAATTGTCATTATAGCGGCTGCGCTGTTGCTTATCTTTTCATTTAACTTGGGCATATCTTAGGCCCACAACCTATTGCATCCATAAATCATAATACCAAACTTGTTAGATTGCCCTTCATGATTGGAATGTTGGTACTAGTTTACTACGGGAAGAGCTGTGCATGTTGAAGCCTAACATAGTTGTAACTAAACATCTTGTGTTGAATTTTGGCAGGACCTTGTGAGAAGGGAGATCAGCAAGCAGAATGGCAATGGCGGTTTCCCGTTGGTGTTCGTGGTTGCCGTTGCTCTGCTGGGAATTCTGCTGGGTTGTCTCATGAAGAGATAGAGGACCCCTGTGTAATCCTGCCTGCATCTTGTTAGGCTCCTGTCCTCATCAAAATGGAGCAGTGTTGTCATCTGCATTCTGATGCGCTCATTTACATGTCCGGCACTACTACTTAACAGCACAATATCTTAGGGTATGATGTCGCCTGTAGTTGCAAGCGTCAGATTGGGTTGACCATCATACCCGGTTGAGTAGTCGTCACGGTTAACCTTATGGTTGTTTGTCATATATGACTACTGTTAGCTTGGGCATTAGTATAACTTGGTATAATTGTTAAAAATGAATTTCGCCTACCTAGTGCTGATTCCCTCATGGTATATTTGTGCAGTGTTGGGGAGTGCTTGGTTAATTACGCATGTACTTCATCCTGAATTTTTGGATATCATACGACGCTGGATTCTTGCTTAATTCGATGTCCATGTACCACTTGCAGTAGTAAATAAGAGCACGGCGAATTGGTGATTCCTATTAGAACAGCAACAGTGGTCCCTAGTAGTACTACTCAATAACGTACATGAACAATTAATCCTGGATGAAACAGCTACTCCTCCTACAAGGACCTTGATATGCAGCTCATGTGAACAGAGGTTCCGTTCAGTCCTGGGACTTTCATCGACTCATGCCTCCAGGCTCCAGCATTCTTTGCCCAGTTTCACCTTCAAATCCATGCCGTCTTAATAGTTAGGTTTCGGAGAGGCACCGTCTATTTGCCCTGTCATCATCACTCCTCTGGCTCCTGCAACATGTTGCATCGAGACACGATGGTGCGGAATTCCTCGAGGCTTATCTGTGAAGGAAAATTGAGTTGTAAGAACTGGATTCATGTTCAAAAGATGAACACTCCTTATTGTAGCGCTGGCAGGTCCCTATCGAATGACTGTTTTCAGCATCTGTTTCACAAACGGGCCATGCCGAGTAGGTATCTGCTGTTGGAATCCATGTTCTAGTTAACAAGTTAGAATGACTGAGAGTTATCATTAGGTGGACAAACGAGCAGTATTGGCCCCTCTCTCTAGTTGAGCTTACTTGATAAAATGGCATCCTAGTGAGGTCAGTGGTCACTGCTCACGAGTCAAGCGGTCATTCAGTAGTGCAAGTTGACAAAAGGGTGGCTATCTAACACCAAAAAAGCATAACTCTCAGTAATTCTTAAGATGGTGGTCATTCTAAGTAATGCATCATTTAAAGTAGATATGTAAAAAAATTATCCAAGAACAAAGGACAAACCTTTCCATCTTTGTCACTATCAAAGCAATGGATCATCTTAGATAGCTCAAAATCTGTCCAGATGAAATCATTTATATTGGCCATTTTTTCAAGATCCCAGGGTGCGATGTATCCTTTTCCAGCCTCTGTACACCAAAGTAGTAACCAATTCACAGTCCATAAAAGTAAAAATATTTAGATAAAACCTTATAGTACAGTGACAAGAAAAGAGGAACTGTGCCAATCAAAATTTTGTGCTTCTGCTATGAACATAACTAAACCCATTTGTCTATAGGGGAATACCCAACTGAAGACACTTCAGTGTGGACAAATCAGCTTGGCTTGTTGAATACTGTTTAAGAACTAATCTTAATTCCCCTGGTAAGCATCGCAGGATCACACCATACGTAACTTTAACCAATACGCAAATCACAAGGGCATCAGAACAAAACGCCTATGTTACTTTAGGCTCATAGGATTTCCTACTAAGACTATTTCCTCAACAAACAATTATGTATAGATGCAACAAAAAATCCATTTTCTAGGGGAACTCAGGTTTTAAATGCCATAAATGGACTTCCAAGTCAGATAAAATACCATCAAATGAGAAGAATATTGCCACCACATCATCTTCCGACAGTTGAATTCTGCTCCTGACCTGAAAGCAAGCAATGGAAGCACAATTATGCAAAACACAAGTAAGATTGGGATGTAAAGCTAATACTGTACATGTCATTCTGGAAGGAACATACCTGCTTCTTTGTCTTCCTATTTTTAGCGGAGTCCTTAACAGGTGTGGTATTGTCATTTTTGCACGGCGTGCTTTTTCGTCCTTTGGCTCCTCTGCTCGAAGTTTCTGCAACTGTTGTTGTCGTCACGGAACTTTTTGAAGGTTCTGTTGTTGTCGTCACGGAACTTTTTGAAGGTTCTGCCAGGGAGAGCGCAATCGCCTGCATATGGCAAAGAATCATGAGTGGAAAAAGGATCAGGAGTGCAATAAGCATTCAAGGATCACATCCGTTTTTGGCGCCTACATTTGCGACGTATGTATTACCTGTTGTAAGGCTGCGTCATCATCCATAAAATCGGCGAAGGGAGCACCTTCTTCTCTAACGGTACTTTTAGAAGAGCTTCCCAAGTTCATTTTCTTCTTTGCCTTTCCCTGAAAAGAAAGCAGAGGAAAGAAAACTATGCATTAGCACTAATATTAAAGAGCAGACAGTTATATTAACATGGAATTTCACATTCCATTTCTTTGGAAGATCTCCAATCCATTGTGCAGCAAAACCTATTAAGCTTGTGTTCTGCTTAGATATTGCTATAAACCGTGATTTAGCAATTTAACTTGTATAAGGATGCCATGAACAAGCCCACAAACCCTAATGGCATTACAACTGATGAGAAAAGTATTTGATACACTATCACCAAAACAATAGCGTCAACTAATTCAAGGGCCTGGATTAGTGGATTGGTTCCACTGGAAAACGGGGGCACCTTTTGGTTAGACCTAGAGGAAGCCTTGAACTCCTCCTCGGAGTCTTGGTCACTGGCCGACGAGCCCTCCTCCTCCTCCTCTTCCTCGCCGCCGCCCCCGTCGGACGGGAGGTACTCCTCGTCCGCATCGTCGGATCGTTTCTTCTGTTTTCTCTTGGCCCCCCCCGCCGCCGCCGCCGCCGCCGCGGAGGACGGCTGGTTGAGGAGGGGGGACGCCGCTAGGCGGCGGATGCCGAGGGCCTGGAGGCGGGCCTCGTTCTCCCGTATCCGCGCCAGCCGCTGCTTCTCGTACTCCGTCAGGGGCTGGTCCTCTCCCGCCATGGCGACGCAGCGGCCGTGTTTTTTTTTCTTCTCTCTCTCCAAAGGAACTGTGAAATTGCCTCGAGTTTCTTCTCTTGATTTTTTTAGGGGATTTTGTTGAGTTGATATGGGCCTGGTTTTATTATCTAGATGGGCTGTACGCGCTCTACTCAAACAAGCCTTTCTAATTGTGCAATGGCCCTCAAACTTTTTTTTTTGTGAGCACATCAAAACCAGCCTGAACCAGCAAACACGGCGCACACTTACACCTACGCGTCTTCTCAAAACGTACACGATCGTATACTGCTACCGACAATGCTGACGCTGTTCTTGTAGACATGGAACAAAACCAATCTTCTTTTTAGGCAAATTAATCACTGTGCAGCTGCTGTCTATATGAAGTTATGAACACACGACAGCAGCGCCCGTCAAAACACACACACACACACACACATACACACACACACCATACGCGCGACAGCAGCGAAGCAAAAGGCATCTATCTAGGAGATGGCCGCCTCCGCCCAGGCCAGTGAGGAGTCCCTGACGGACGTGTCGACGCCTTCCTCGAGGATGGCCCCGATCATGTTCATGGAGGGCCTCCGCGACGGCTCGGCGTCGATGCACAGGTTCACCACGTTGCAGATGATGCCCAGGCTCTCCTGGCTCACGCTCCTCAGCTTCGGGTCCACCAGCTTGCCAAACTCCCCCGGCTGCTCCAAGTGCTTCCTCGCCTGCACACACTCATCCATCATTCTCAAGAATCATACGTACCCCTCCATCCGGAAATACTTGTCGGGGACATGAATAAAAATGTAGGAGTATGATTTAGTTCAATAGTTCTGTGGTAGATTTTTCATGCTGCTGGTAATCCTGAGTTCATTTGATTCGGTCAAGAACACTTACCCAGTTCACCAGGTCGTCTGTGTCCTTGGAGAGCGAGGCCCTGCCGCTGATCAGCTCCAGGAGGATCACCCCGAAGGCGAAGGTGTTGGCCTGGACGTCCATGAAGCGCACGTGCCGGGAGTCCACGACGCCGTTGGAATGCCCGCCGCCGCCGTTCACCACGCAGCCGGAGCTGAGGAGGGGTTTGCCCACGAGACCCCTCCACCTCTCGAAGTCAATTATCTGCAGTAGCACGAACCGTTTCAGCTCAGGTCTTAACACTTTGCTGTCAACTGCACTAAAGACGACACGTTCCAGTAAGCAATATAGGCCGACCTTGGGTGAGAAGTCTTCAGTCAGATAGATGGAGCTGGACGCCAGCGCGGCGACGGCGAACGGCGGCTGCAGCTCGGTGTGCAGGTATCTGAGGACGCGCGCGATGCTCAGCGCTATCTTCATCCGCCTCGGCCAGGATAGCTGACACCCTTCCACATCTGAAAGCACACGACACCCAACGAACAAGTTTCAGTCATATATATGTCACCTTCTCAGATCTCAAATGCAGCAAGGTTACAAAGCTTTCAGTAGTGCCAAAAGCTTACCGTGGAGATGCTCGTAGAGCGTCCCGTTGGGTGGGTACTCGAAGACCACCATTCTCGAGAACGGATCGGACGACTTGCAGTATCCCACCATCTTCGCCGCGTTTTCGTGACTCAGTCTCGCCACTTCTACCACCTAAGGGTCCAAGACACCAAGAGATATGGTCAAAGGGCCGTGCAAAAAATCTTTGGCATCAATGTCAAGTTGGAGAGCAATCAACTCACCTCCTTCTGAAAATAAAGCTCGACGTAGTTCGTCCAGTAATGCACCGGAGCCGACATCGACACGACGGCGATCTCCCGGCCATCCTTCATGGTCCCCTTGTACACCACCGTCTCGTGGGAGGACCCAATTATGTTGCTGAAGTCTTCGCAGGCCTCGGCGAGCTCTTGCCGGCTTATTTTCGGCACATTCCCCAGCAGGTCATCATCTGCACAGGCAAATAAAATAAAATTTGTAACTAAAGCAGTACACACTCCAGTATTTGTCAGTGAGAAGACAAACACTGACCGATTGAGATCACGTTGGTTTCCTTCCAGCTTAACGCTCTTGTCCATGGAACACCTCTCCTGGAGGATCTATCTTTGCGTCTTCTGAGACCAGCGATGGCACAGAGTGTTAAAATGGAGAGCACTGAAACTCCTGTCACGACTTCCACAATGAGGAGCCACAGTGGCTGTATCACTCTTCCTCTCCGCCCATCTTCACCAATACTGTTGTTGTCTTTGCCTGCATCCGTGCTGTTTCCACCTGTAATTATGATGCAATATACTCTCACTCACTGCTTACAAAAATTAAAACACAGTAGGAGACTTTTTTTTTTGCGGGGGACAGCAGGAGACTTAAGTAAGTACTCCCTCCGTCCGGAAATACTTGTCATTGAAATAGATGTATCTAGATGTATTTTAGTTCTAGATACATCTATTTTCATCCATTTTGATGACAAGTATTTCCGGACGGAGGGAGTATAAGCATCCTAGTATGATTTAAAATTAGTGTTATGATATATCAGTAAGAAAAGTAGGTATAGACCATTTTCAGTTATTTTTTATCGCTAAAATGCACAAATCAGTTTTGACCTGCTTCCCGCAGCGCTGAGGTAAATATCTGACAGAAAAACTGAATACTTGGAAAAACATGGATATATTGGACAAACACAAGAAGGTTAGGACAAGAGATCAAACTAATGGACACAGGGAAGAATGTGATAGAAAGGGTCCAAGAAGGAAGCAAACAAAGTGGCAAATTTCTTCTCTTTGTTTTAGCAAAGCATAACTAACATTCCCACTACCCAATAGGTCCCATGATGTCATTCGCAACGTAGGTCCTAATTTGCTATTGTCGACTAAATTAGAACAGGCATTTTTTAAGTTCCCACGGCCGCACCATCAATGGCCTCGAGCCCCAAAGCGTAACACCTTTTTTACTTTTTAATAAAGATGAACAAATGGCTGTGAATATTCTTCAGTCTAGCCTAATGCCCTAGTGCAGTAGTAGTTCCTTTGATAAATACTGCAACGTAAATCCTAAGAATAGTGTGGAAATAGCTTACTATGAAGCTGATGCACAAGGGAGTTTCATCCAAGTAATATACTGTATTATTTTGCCAAAAGGAACTGCTGGATGTATCTTGCAACAGGTAATGTCTACGTGCTCTTGTCAAATTACAATAACACAGAGGCAAAAGCAGCAAAAAAACAAAAACTTAATTGAATCATGGTGCTGAAAATGGGGTTTAACTTCATTAAAGACTGTAATGCTTAAAAATGTAACATCACTGTACATTGCCAGTCAGGGCGATTCATTGTGTCGTTGTTCTGGAAGCAATTCCCTGCCATTCTTGATCTGTTCAAATACTGTAAAACAGGTAAGTTCAGATAGACTTAACTGAAATGCAAGCCACAAAAGAAAGATGTACCTTTGGATGTGCCTGAAGCACGCAGGAATACCTCCAGTTAAAAGGTTATCTGAGAGGTCTATATCAGTTAGCTGAGCTAACTGACACAAACCAACTTGATCTTCTTTGTTGGTGGACACCCTGAAAGAAGAACAACCACAATTTCATATTCATATGCAATTGATGCCCACACAGAAGGTACATATCTGCTAAGGACTTTTTTTTGGCAACTTGGTCACTGTATCTTGTCTCATTCTCCAGCTTGTTTCGAAACGATAAACCGTATCGTTATCTTCTCTTACTACTATTGTGAAACAGCATCAGTGCTGATTGATGCTGACTTGTTAACTAAATAGCTTTATTGTGTTCACGGGAGAAGAGACGTGCTTCCGGGCCCTTCCAGGATCCAGATCATGCATGCTAAAAATAGATACTTGGTTTTGAACACTCTGAAAGACTGAAACAGATGCACTTACATGATGGAATCATTACTTCCAGGAATAGTCCCTGTGAGGCTGTTGTTGCTCAACCGTAGCTCCTTGAGGTTTGTCAGCTTACCGAGCTCAGGAGGGATGGCGCCACTCAACCGATTCGCGTGAAGGTCTCTAGGGCATAAGAGAACAGACGAGTCATGAACATGGAAATAAAGGTTTTACATAAACAAAAGTTGATCACAGCTTCTGGGGTAGTACATTGTTGTGATGTTTTCCATGTCACCGGTCTCACTTGGAATGGGCCCCTCCAGTTGATTTGTGCTGAGATTCAGCACTGTAAGGTTCTTTAACTTGCCGATTTCTCTCGGTATCGAGCCCGTGAATGCATTGTGATCCAATATGCTGCAAGAAGCTCATCAGGCTTATTAATCTCCAGTTGCTTGCAGGCGAAGTACATGTTGTAAAAAAACAAGAGTTGCAAGCACATACAGTTTTTGCAGAGAAGTCAAGGATCCAATCTCTGGTGCAAGGAACCCCGAGAGAGATGAGTTTGACAACTCCCTGGACAGTCAGTGGCAGCAAGAGGTAAGACATTTATAAGAACATCAAGTCTATCGATATATGTATAAAATACTACCCCCTCTGTAAACTTTTATAAGACGTTTCAGTGCTGAACTTTTTTGGTTAACGAGCAAGCAAGCATGCCTACATAAAACTAACGCATTTCTTAATTGTCTTTGGATAAGTAGCAACACTTGGATTTGAAGTTTTCTTTTTAAAAACTGAGAATTCCATTGGCTTCTGCGGGTGGGACCACAAACCCACCGGGTCAGTTTTCTGTAGGTGCTTCTCTGGTCAACTGAAGATAGGAGAGAGACACACAGTAAAAGTAGGTAAAAAAAATGATGGTAGCTTTCAGCTGGATGTCTCATTGTGCTGTCGGAGACTTTTCCGTGGAAGAAGATGGATGCATCCTTCTGTTGGCCCCGGGAGTCTTCTTCTTCCACCCCCGGATTGTTCCATTGGAGAGAGTGCAGGAAGAATTGTTCATATCGTTTCTGATAATAAACTCTGAAAGAGGATATGCTAAATAAACGGTGCATTCGGCTCCCTCATCTTGCGGCAGACTACCGGCGTAACAAAAGAGGAACAAGCAAGCAGGAAGTCGGGGCGGGTAAAAGGGATTCTTACAGCGCCACCACACGGCCGTCGGAGAGCGAGCACCAGACGCCGGACCACCAGCAGTGATCCGGCTCGCTGGAGTTCCAGTCGGAGAGCTGGGCGCGAGGGTCGCCGTCGATGGCTCGCTTGAAGGCGAGGAGCGCACGCACTGCACCCCGCCCGGAGCAAGAACGAGGCAGCAGCAAGCAATCAACCACTGAATGAAGAAGATAGACGAAAAGCAGGAAAAAAATACAGCAAGGCATGGCCAAGGGCAGCACCGTCGTCTGAGACGGAGGGCTCGGAGGCGGAGGGCTCAGGGGCCGGGGCGATGGAAGCGCAGCAGCCGAGCCCGAGCGCCATGGCCAGGAGCGAGAGCCCCAGCAGCAGCCTCGCCATCGTCGTCGTCGTCGTCGTACCACGTAGTGCTTTTCCTAGAGCAGAGGAGGGCCTGTTCACATGGCCATCTGTAAAGCCCCGTGTGTTGGTTCGTTCACTCGAGGAGTTTGTATTGTAGGAGTGCGAGAAGAAGAAGGGGACGAGGAAGTTGCACTTAACGGCCACGCCAAGCAGTGATGATGGCCTATCACACGCGCGCAAGAGCGAGCACTCCAACAGGACAACCCAAGCCAAACCACCGCATACATTAATTAACTTGTTATTGTTATTATTATTATTTTTTACGGGGATTGTTATTATTATTTTTTAACACAGTACAAACGGAAACGCTCATGTAAATGCGCATACACTCACTCATATGAACGCACACGCATACACCCTACCCCTATGAGCACCTCTGAGAGACTGAGCCGGCATATCATCTTGAAACTTTACAAAGTCATCGTATGTGCCTCGTAGTCGATGAGAACGTCTCTTTTAACAATGCGAGCACCAGGACTTGAACCCTGATGGGCTGAGAGTACCACTCTCCTTCTAAACATCCGACTACAGGTTGGTTCGGTTATTGTTATTACTTAGTCACCCCTACATGTGTGGGGTAGCATAGCATACGTGAGAATACGTGGGTACATATGTACTCCCTTCGTAACGCTCTTATATTTTCTTTACAAAGGAAAGGGAGTATGTTCGAACGTGCTCCACTCCACACACACACACACCAGCAACACTGTGCAATCTGCCGCACAGCACGGGAGCACAAACTTGCTAGATTCAACTTGTACCGGGGCGAGCTGCAGATGCGAGAAGAATCGGCCACGAAAGCTCGGAAGTACTACGTACTACGGTACCATCGATCGACCGGGACACGTGCCCAACTCGACTCGAGCGAGCGCCAAATTGTCATCGTTACGTGACGCTGATGCTTAAGCTTCACCAGAGTCCTTAAGTTTAAGTTTATCCGTATGAATATCTAATGCGATTCCAAGTACCAGTTCAATCCTGGGTTGGGTTGCAAGGCAGGGCACGCTCCTCCCGTCCCCTAAGCACGCACACGCGCGCTGAAGGCGACGTGCCGGGAGACCACGATATATATACATATATAAATCTGCATAAGATATGGTTTCGTTCGGTGTCGTGGCCTGGCCGGGCTCCTTCTTGGGTTGTTTCCTTGCAACTAGCCATTCATACCTAGCCTGGCTATTTGATTGGCTGTTTTTAACTTTAGGGAATGACGCAAAAACCTTTGAAGAAGAGTTGGTGCACCCACTATTAAGAAAGTTACGCGAATGCTG